ATCCTCCCTTGATGTAGCTTGTAACCCGATTTTAAAGAAAGGGTACATAGACATTAAAGTTCTGTAACGATTTATCATCAGGGTAAAAATGCAAAGACTTAAATAAATATTCTGAACTCACCTTTGAACTAGCATGGGTTTCGAAGCTGTCGATCCAGCACTTCCATCTTTGGCAGTTCCTTTGCGATACGAAAGCCATTCCTTCAGCCTTTCTTAATTTGTAACATCACGAGGACACTTACCGCTTAATATTTTCACTTTCTCTTCAGCAGATAAAAATGCTGATTTTGAAAATAATTCAACTTTTTCGACGCTCATGCTAAATTCGACTTCACAACTTCTGTAATCCTCGAGAAAGCTTGACCCGATAGCCTCGCTTTCGTGTGCACTAATATAGGAAGCCGCTGTCTAATTACACCGCGCACGCAGAACTGGAATAAAGGTTATTGCGATCGCGCATCGCTTCAGCGATTTTATTATTCATCCAAGGAGTTGTCGTGCCCTTTACTCGGAGCTTTTTAAGCGGTGCATGAGAGTCCGTTACTTCAGTAAATAATCTGTTCCAAGTCAAGACTGCGTCGTCCTGGGTGAAGGAATTTTCGTCAAATCCTTTGAATAACCGATATTCTATTTTCCTCGGTGTGGCCTTTTGGACACCAGCTTTTAGCACAATAAATTAGTGAATGATCGCTTATTGATATAGACACAACGCCGCTATCATTAATTCGGTGCGGATTATTAACCAGGATCACATCAATGAATGATTTTGACTGTTTGGTGATGCGAGTTGGCTCGGTTATAATTTGAGACAAGTCCAAAGAACGCATAAAATTCTGCAGAATCCGCATATTTTGCTTCCATCTATGAGCAGGCTTCGACAAGAGGTCAACATTCATGTCCCCAAGAATAATTAGAGCACATCTATCAAAGTTCAAAATAGGCATACAGTTTTCGAGACTGGAAATAAACTTGGTGAAATCAGCATTAAGTGCATGCACACTATAGAAACAACAAATGAGAGTCGGTTTACATTTGGGGCAATTGAGTTCAATCCAATGACATTCATTCTCACCAGTATCTATGTCGTTCCATTCACGAAAGGGTAGACCTTCTCTCACGTAGATAGCAACACCTCCGCCTGATTTTGACCCTTCTCTATCCCGACGAACTAGTGTAAATCCTGGAAGGCAAATTTCTAAATCCTGAAGTATTAGAATCAAGCCATTTCTCCGATAATGTAAGAATATCAATGGCAATGTTATCAAATTGTTCGAGTCGTAACAAATCAACTTTGTTCCGTAGGCTTCTAAAACTTAGGTGAGCAACCTTCAAGCCACGGGTGTTCCTAACATCAACCAAACGACGGAAACCAGGATTCAATTCTACATCACCAGCCAGGGTAGTTAACATTAAGGCCAACGACGTGCGCTGTAGGAGTTCACCAACCAAATACATTCTCGAGAACCGCTTCACTCGAGGGTGGGTTTGCGAAGTGCTGAGACCCGCTGAGGAGGTTCAAATAGCAACAACAGTGTTAGACTGTGAAACGAAATAGATATCGCTATCTGTACTAATGGTCTTGTTCCAGGAACTCTTGAGAGTAGAACCTTTTGAAAGTGACGAAAAGGCAGAGAACCAGACACAACTTTACGGAGCATAAACTAGCACATGTGGCCGCCATCTTGACTCCTCTTCAGGTGAAAGGCGATGTGGATCTAAAAGCTGAAAAATCTCAACACTTCCAACTTGTAACCTTAAACTGCTAACTGCGGTTTGATGTTTGCGGTTAAGACATCAAACGTAGATCTAAACTCTCTAATGATGTAAAGGGACGTGCGACTTCAACATGAACCGCTACATGTAGTTAAGTCTAACTACTCAGTCCTTGCCAGTTCAACCTCACTGCCTCAAAGGAAAACAAGAACAAGCCCACCCTTTTAAATAGATCGACTGCTTGAACTCAGAGACTTCAACATCTGAGGAAAAATCTATCAAAAATAAGGGGACAGCCTTTCAACTATAAAAGTCAAGTTCTTAATAAGTAGTTTCTTAGAAATCGACTTTGAAATAAAAGCTAGCGCTAAGAAGTCACGACGTTTCGACCTCTCTGAGGTCATTTTCAAGTAAGTTTTCCAAATCAGCATAAATATGTTGAAGCAGGTTGAAGACGATAAAATGTGGCGAACGCTAAAATATGTGAAAAAGTGTAAACAATATACAATAGAAGAGAATAAAATAAAAAAGGAATAAAAGAATAAAGTGATCGTAGCACGAATTGTTCTAAACAATTAGTTTGGCGCGAATTGAATCGCACTGTTTGTTTACCGTTGGTTTCAGTTCTTTGATAAAAAAAATTTCAAAAATAAGACAGTCAAATTTGTTCTGACACTTCCTTAAGATTCGAAAACTCTGTGTGATGTCTTCTGGCTCCATGTCGTGCTGCTCTCTGAGGTGGTGTCCGATTGCCGATCCTTTGTGTTCTTCAATTCGTTGGTGTAAGTGTCGGCAC